TTGATCAATTCAAGTAGCACGAATGGTGAGCGCTCATTAAGTCTCCCACAATAATAAACTAGGTACGGGAGGTAATCCGCCTCGGGGTCCATCACTCGTGCCAGCATTCTGACGTGGAAGGAATTTCGAGCATGCGCTAGCAGGTAGCCCCAAATCTCTTCCAGCGGACTCTCGTCAGATCGCTGGAGATAAGAGTGTAGGACGAAAAAGCCCTTGAACCCTGTAGTCCTCCAACGCCACCAGTCTGGCTTTGCGGTACAGCCAGTCAGGGTCGTGCTTGAAGCAGGTCTCGTTGCAATACTTGATCAGCGATCGAAGACAACTTACTGCATCGAATCTTAAGCAGAGCTCCAGTAGCAGGTGCATACCCATAGTGTGATGCAAACGGTCGTTTTCGCCGTCCAAAGCATCGCGGTACATGAGTAGCCCGAGGAACCCAATGTACCGGTTGTCGGCATTGACTCGGTGTTGATGGCCATACTGACCAGATGAGGCAGGTATATGAAATAATATAGCGTTGATGGTGTTCTAGTGCTTTGTTGGTATGTGTGTATTGATGATGAATGAAGTTGGATGGCCTAGAAGTAAGGTCTGAAGCTTGGAGGTGGATTTCGATTACTGAAATATGCTTCTACCGATAGCATTGTTAATTCATAAGTCCTTTCTTCATCCTGAAACATACATGTGGCGTGTTTCCGTGATGGATACCCAGTTTCAGAAAATACAAAGTACAGCAAGACAGTCCTGTAGGTAGAATTGTATGTCTTTGTTGCTTCTACACAATGACTTTGTCCCCGGCTATAGACATGTCTTTTTTTCAAAACAAAGATTTGATGGCCAACAGAAACAGCGCCTTTTCCCAGCCATGCCCAAACACCAAGCTGGCCAGGTTCTGTACAAAATGACACCCCGACAGGCATAATACATGCGCCGCTCGATCCATCTTTGATCAAGCAAGCCGGTCATCTTGTTCAACCCGACTTGCCACGCAAGAGAGCCGTTGCAAGGGTTGCAGGCTGTTCCAAGATGACAGCTGGACCAGCAATGACAGACTCCTTTGTGGGCGCCCCCTGTCGATCCGCAACGCACGCAACGATGACCCCCTTGGTCTCAAAGTTGCGAGGGATAGTCACCCAGATCTCCTCGCGGGGCCAGTGACGCGTGTTAACGGGAACACTGATACTGGCCGTTGCATGAAAGAACACGGCATAATACTGGATGCGCTTGTTGAAGTAGGGCTGGTTACGTGGGTCGTCAAAGTGCAGACTGATCCTCGAGCCTGGCGTCAGGCTCACAGTGTCCTTCCCAGCCGAAAGGGCCGGCAGCCGTTGTCGGTTGTGGGGAAATTCCGGGTTCTCATGCGGACAGCTTCCAGGGACAATGAATGCATTGGTGGAGTCCAGAATTTCACCGGCGAAAGGGAAGATGGTGTCGGATGGACCGCCGAATGGATCTGCCTTCCAAATGTCCAGCAGCGCCCACACCTCGTGGCGGGTTTCAACCTCGGCGATGGCCAACATGGCTCCTTTGTTGAAGTCGAGCTTGGGAAGCTGCACCAGACCCGTAAGGAAGGCCATGCTGGAAATCTCAAGTACCGTCATCAGCGCCATATACCCAACGGGCTCAGTAAAGGGGAACCGGTATTGGCAACGACCGGGCTTGATGGAGGTCGGCGAGATTTGGTTCTGGAAGATGCGCAGATGGCCGGCCTCGTTATTGCGGATCTCCATCAGGCGCCTATACGTGGTGTTGGGCATGCCCGCCTTGACGAAATCTTGTGGGGTGAAGGCCTCAATACCTTGCTGATAAAACTCAAAGATTAGCCATTCGGCCGACAAGAGGTTCTGCCAAACCCAGTCATCAACACCAGGGGGCCCTTTCTGGGTTGGGAAGATTGGATCCGAAATGTTGCCTGGAAAAGGTCTATCGGTGCCCCAGTAATAATTGTAAAGATCTGACTGGCCTGGAATTGGGCCGTATGTGGGATCCGCCAGTCTCTGGGCTTCTCCGGAATAATGAGGCGGTACCAGAGAAGCCGGGGCTGCTCTCACATGGGCGCACAAGAGCGTCACTGCCCATGCCAGGAGGGGGGATTTGACGGCCATAATGCCGAGAAGTATCGAATCTGAATCTCGGACTTATTGTTTTGAAGAACCTGAAGGTTGAGGCTGGACTGGGAAGATATTATATGAAGACAAAACGGGGGCTGATCCCAGCACGCGATCAACTTGTTTCGAAGGTAAAGAAGACAGACAGGAGGCGGTCTTTTGAGATACGAGGGAATTGAAACTACTCACGGAACGGGCCCAAGAACACCCAAGAAAATCCGGCTCAAAACCATCCGGTACGCGACTCATTCCGTCTGCGCACCGGGAGGAAGACTGCAAGTAAAACGTGCGGTAAACTAGGAACGTGGTGTTTTCACACTGAAGCTGCCTCAAAGCCATTCGCAACCGGGCGAACCTTGAGTAAGTAGTCGGTGCGATGAAAGATTCTCGGGTCGGAGTCTTGGGTAACGGTTGCAGTTGAAGAAAGAAGCAGATTTGGACGGTCCCTCATCATTGCCGCCGGCCTTGCGTATCGCGACCGACGATGCACCGGCGTATACCAGTATTCTCTCGGATATTGCTGAAAAGGTCATTAAAACCCTGGATCAAGGCGCCGTGGGTGACGACCTTCCCTCCACGGAATATCAACGGCTGACCGAGCATTCGGGACTGTCTCCAAGCTCCGGGATCCTGTCGCACTACATCAAGAGAGGAGACGGTTTTCGTGAGCAATGCTTTTCTTGGACCTCTTACTCTTCTGTTGACTTATACCTACCCTGCGTTTCACCTTTCTGTTATCATGTTCCTGTTTGCCCTCGCAGTGGCAGCGGCTATTTGCGTGTTCCAGCTTGCTCACTCTATCCAGAGAAAGAAATCTGTCCGACGGCGAAATGATGAAGAAGCAGCTCGGTTGGGATGCAGCCCCGCTCGCGTGATGCCCACCAAGGGGTTCTTGGGGTTCGGCCGGCTTGTTGAGAGTGTCAAGGCCACCAAGGCCGACAGAGGTCCCCAGTACGTCGTCGAGGCCATCAACCAGGAGATGGGCAAAGATGTGCACACCTGTGTGGTCCCGATTGCCGACTACGAGCTTATCGTGACCCGCGATCCCGCCAACGTCCAGGCCATGCTCGCCAGCAAGGCCCCCGACTGGGATGTTGGGGAGCAGAGAAATGCTAGTTGGAAACCGCTTTTTGGCTCCGGCGTCTTCACCAGTAGAGGCGAAGCCTGGAAGCACTCCCGTGCTCTGGTGCGACCTCAGTTCACCAAAGACCAGATCAACGACCTTGCTTTGATCGAGCGCCATGTCCAGCAGTTGTTCTCTGCCATTGACAGATCATACGGAGCTGGTGAGAAGGGATGGACCGCCAGTTTCGACCTGCAGCCCCTTTTTTACAACATGACCCTGGACATCACCACCGAGCTTATTTATGGGTACTCGGTTCATTCTCAGAACCCATCGGAGCGGGTTGAGTTGCCAGTTATCCCTGGGTATGAACCTCCCGACCGAGAGAATATCGGCACCCACATGGACGCCGGGAAGGCTTGGGTAGAGACACGAGGAGCCCTCTGGAAATACCGCTGGCTGCTGCCGACCAGGGAGTTCAACGCCCACTGCGCAGCTGTGCATAAATACTCCGAGTGGTTTGTGCAGTTGAGGCTCCAGCGCGGAGACAAGTATTTGGCCGGGATTCAGTCCGAGACTGGGCTCACCTCTCCGGGTCGCTACATCCTCTTAGATGAGCTTGCAAAGCTAACACAGGACCCCGTTGAGCTGCGCAGCCAGACACTCAACATCCTTACTGCCGGTCGAGACACCACAGCTTCCCTAATTGGATGGGTTTTCTACTTCCTGGCACGCCATCAGGAAGTCTTCAACAAGCTGCGAGAGCAAATTCTACAACAGTTTGGTCCATACCACCCATCCCAACCGAGCGGCATCGAGTTCAAAGAGCTGCGAGACTCCATCCCATACATCAACTCGGTCGTCAATGAGGCCCTTCGTATGGCGCCTGTCATCCCGCTCAATGAAAGAGTAGCCGTCCGGGACACGGTTTTGCCGCGGGGCGGCGGGGACGACGGCAACGACCCCATGTTTGTGCCGAAGGGAACGCAGGTCCTCATCCCAACTTACGCCATGACGAGGAGGGATGATATCTGGGGCCCTGACGTGAATCATTTCCGACCTGAAAGTGGGGAGGAGAATGGAGGCCGCAAATTCGGCTTCGAGTTCATTCCATTTGGCGGCGGTATCCGTCAGTGTTTGGGTCGTGAGTATTCGCTCCTCCCGTGGAGGTTGGCTCAGAAGAACCTGGACTGACAGAAAGACAGAACAATTTGCGCGAACGAAAACCGCATATGTTATTGTGAGATTACTGCAGCGATACGACAAGATCGAGAACGCGCAAGAGCCAGCCGATGCCCCTATGAGGTTCCACCATACCATCGAAAACAGAAGCGGGAGCGGTGTGCAGGTCAGGCTGCACGAGGCATGATTTTCATTGGCGTGTGTTTGTAGTATCGCTCTGCGAATAATTTATGGCGTCCTGGTTTTGAAGCATGTTGATGATCAGGTTTGTGATAAGGCTGTTCGCCAAGACACCCAATACCACTCCAGGATTGTTCTGAGTGAGGGTCAGGACGGCCGGTTCCGAGATTTCCAGACCTCAAACTCCACTGCAGCGCAAGAAAGCTTCAGGGCCAGGCAAATGAGGGCACCAATCGAGAGTCCTGAAGTATCGCAGAATTACTCCGATAAGGGAAAAGAAGCACCCCACATCGCATCATCCCCAAGGCGTGCTATCCCGGCACGCCCGGCTTGATAAGACACCACCTCGGAATGTGTTGTCCAGATCCCCGCACAAACCAAGTTCAAGTCAAACTATTCTTTTCATAAACTTGACTTTCCTTTCCTTTGAATACATTCCTATCATCCGTTCCACATCAATAACGAAAATGACAATCAACAAGACCCTGCGGGGTCACAAACTTTTGATGGTCATGCCCTGGGAACAGCCGGCCGAGTTCATGGAGAATCTCAAAGCTGAGTTTCCGGGCTTGCAAGTGGTCACCTATCGACAAACAGAATGGGACCAGACTTGGGCCCCGTTCCCTGACGAGGAATGGAAGGATGTCACCGTCCTCTTGACTTTTACGGTGTTGCCGACGCCGGAACAAGCCCCAAAGCTGGAATACGTCCAACTCATGAGGTAAGAATAGCATGATTGGCACAGGACCAGTACGAAGTACGTGGCATGGCTGATTAAACCTCCCTTTGATGAAGTGCTGGCGCCAACCATGTGTTGGATCTGCCAATCTTCAAGGACACCGAAGCAAAGTTTTGTACAGCCAATGGCGTTCACGGCCCCCAGATATCGGAATGGATCATTGGCACATATCTAGCCTTTCAACATCGATGTGGGTGTTTTGCTTCGCCTCTTCCCTCCTAATACCTGATTTCATCTTCAACACTGACCCATCTCTCCTCCCCAGTTCCCCAGTATCATGAAAAACAGAAAGAAGGCCGATGGGATCGATCTGACTTGAACCTTATTGATGATGCCGTCCAGAAAACAATGTTGGTCTCCCCGTGCTGTTCCCTCCATGCTTTACCTTTACCGTTGGGCTCATCAAGATTAACACGCCGTCAGCGGAATTCTGGGCTATGGCTCAATAGGCCGTCAAACAGCCCGTCTAGCCACTGCCATGGGCATGAACGTCCATGCTTACACCCTCCATCCTCGCACTACACCCGCCTCGAAAAAAGACCATTCTTGGACGCCCCCAGGGCTTGGAGACCCCGATGGGATCTACCCTTCCAAATGGTTCTCGGGCTCTTCGCGCGCAGACTTGCATGCTTTCCTGACCTCTGGGCTCGACCTGCTGGTTATCGCCACCCCCCTGACGCCCAACACTAAACACCTACTCGCAGCGGCCGAGTTTGAGTTGCTGGCGGCGGACGGCAGGAAGGGAAGGACATTCGTTTCCAACATTGCCCGCGGACCTGTGGTCAACACACCAGATATCATTCACGCGCTGAAGGGAGGGTTGATCAAAGGTGCAGCTCTGGATGTGACTGACCCTGAACCTCTTCCAGATGGACACGAGCTCTGGAGTATGGAAAACGTCATCATCACTCCCCATGTATCTGGCGCATCGACACATTACAATGAAAGAGTCCTGTCCATCTTGGAATACAACCTCAAGAGATTGAGCGAGGACACGGAACCGGTCAACAAAGTCAATAAGAGAGAGGGCTATTAGAAGACACGTTGAAAGGACAAACAAGTACCTCGTACTGTTGGATAGGGTGAATTGACTAATGCGGCGGATGCTAAAAAAACAGGAACTTATCTCCCAATCGAAGAGTATGCATTCAATGGCGTGTATCAACCTCTTCCGGCCAAGCTCTAAAGGAGTAACGAGAAACCGACTGTGGATGCTACATCAGTACCCACATTCCATACAGAATTAAATATTAAATCTACCGAACGTCAACTAGCCATCATAGCAGAGAAGTCGGCCTTCTGATTCCCAGATCATCACCATCGTCCTCGTGGTCTGTAATGTCGAGATCAATATCGCCAAAGTCTGGAATCTCCAAGATGTCTGGTGTTGCCAGCTCGTGTCGGTTGCCGATTGTTTCTGGCATCGGGGAGGGCATTTCGTGCACAGCTGTGAAACTATCGGCTTCGTGGATTGACGTGAACGGGTGTGTGGGCGGTTTCGTCAGCCCCTTCTCTCGAAAGATCAGAGTTGATGTATTGTGTACCGCGGTGCCAGGAGTCGGAAGAGGAGGAGGGGCAAGAAATGATTCGGACGAAAAGAGCGGCGGAATTGCTGATTTTTCCGTGGTCATCAACCGTTTCTCTTCACGGCGTATCCATGCTCGATGACCCAGCCATGCGAGGACGAGGAGAACAGCCAGCCCGGCAAGGACGCCGCCAACAATTGCGATAATGACACCGGTGGATGGCCGTCCCCCTCCGACAACTGTTCCGTCAGAACTGTCCGAGCTGTTCGATCCTGGAGGCAACGATGTTGGGTTCGGAAGGGGCGACCTATACTCATCGGTCGGAGTTGCTGTGTTGGAGGGATCGGTCGAGTTTGCCCCACCTGTCGAGCCTGCTACTGCCTGGAAGAACTTCTTGCTTGAAGCTTGTGACGGCGACGTCCCTGATCCGCCGAGAGATTCCAGCCCATTATGACGCCCACCTCCTTCGTCATCGCCATTCCCCCCATTGTCCCCGCTTCCTTTGTCATGACTTGTTTCGCTTCCAGTGCCTCCCTTGCCGCCAGTATTGCCCTCGTCGCCATGCTCCCTACTGCTTCCACCGCCGCTTTGACTTGTCCCGCTTCTACTATCACCACCGCGCCCGCTTCCAATACCGCTACCGCTATCGCTCCCGCTTCCACCACTGCTCCCACTCCCACTCCCACTCCCACTGCCGCCGCCGTTGCTACCGCCGCCTCCGGTGCTGGTTCCGCTTCCACTCCCGCTTCCTGTCCCGCCCCCCCAGCCGTTATCACCCCCCGTCGAGGTGCCTGTGCTCGGAGGTGGGTTCCGCCGAACACATCTCCTCTTGATGCGTGGTTCTTCATGAAACCCCCACAACCCCTTCCGCGCGATGGATATCGTGTTACCCATCTCTGTGTCTCTTTTCCAAGAAGAAGTGTTATGCAGCAAAATAAAAGAAAGGCAGCGAATGCTAAACTGCGCAAAATTGAAAGAGTGTAATCAGCGCTTCACACTGGGAGCCTTCAAGAAATTATGGCCTCGTGTGGGTGGCCGTCCCATGTAGAATGGTGGTCGTTGATAGTCGCACCACAGACGATGGCGAGGTGTAACCGAGCACAAAAGAGAAAGGAAAGAGGGAAACGCCACGAGGAGGCAAGACGGGAGAAAAAGAGAAGGCGGAGGAGGTCGGGGAATGTTCTCCTGGTACGGCGCAGCAGACCACCCATGCCACCACCAACAACTTTGCCCGGTTTTTGGTGTCGACTGTCGATATTGAGGCACTAAGCCCATCCACTTCCAGGAACCTACTCACCTGTGCCTCGAGGACCTGGACAGGATGCCCGTGGCATCACACCGCAGTGCGTCTGACAATCTCGTGACTCGAAGGTGCACGGGTCGTGGATGATGGGCGGGTGTTGGCTCCGGCGAGAACGAGATTATGATTGAGGCACAGGATGCAGGTTAGGTGCAGGTAGATGGGTTGATCATGGTGCCAGCAGCAAGTCACCGTCACCTGGGGGCCGGGGATTGAGGAGTTGGCATGATCCCGCATGCGGGTGCTCATCTTGTTTGTTGGTGCAGTTGATGGGGAACGCGGCGAACGGAGGCGTGGCATATCACTTCGAGTTTTGAATTGCAGATGCACGACACCTATTTACTGTCATTCCTCATCTGTTGACGAAATAATACGCTGAAATGTTTTACTATATGGGTTGTGTTCCAATGATTTTGATGATGTACTCGAACTCCTCACCCTTACGCGAGTGCTCACTTATAGATAGACGGGCGGTGACAACAAAAATGACATCGCTGAGTGCAACTGTGTGAGAAATGAATAGATGAATAAAAACAGAAAGCGTCGGACTTTGACCATGACAAGAACTGGTGGCACTGGAGATAGTGTGTAGAAAAAGTGCAAAAGATATGTCGACGTGGGCCTGATTCGAACAGACGCTCCCGAAGGAACAAGATTTCTAGTCTTGCGCATTAGACCACTCTGCCACCACGCCTTATCGATGTGGAAACGAATTTATACTATTTGTACCAATCTATCACCGCTCAAATGACAGGGTTGTCAGGCCCGAGGACTTGAAAGAGAGGTCTAAAGAGAAACGAACCGGACAATCAACCTTAGGGATGGGTATCCCACCCCATTGCGTGCTGTTGAGCTGGTGAGGTGACTCTGGACGGAAGACCCCGCACCGCACATCAAGGCCAATGCTCCCTTGATGATAGACAGCGTTGCATGATGCACGGCGACACGTGGGCGAGGATGATAACCGTAAAGACCCGGGCCGAATGTGGTGATGGGTGGAATTCTTCCACCAAAACTTCCAGAAGAGATGCAGGTGCTGCATGACGTTTTGGCTAATTGCGGACCCCCAATCCGAGCTCGAAGCGGAAAGACCCAAGTCGGCGAAATTGAATCTGCCGGCAGTCACCGCCAGCCCAGTCCAAAGACAGCGCGCCAAGAGATTGCCATGTGGAGGAGGCAGGGGAACCAGCGCCAAAATGGAGCATGGGGTTGCCCGCTGCAGCGCTGAGTGGACAGCCCTGCAGGGTCGCAGCAGCGGTCAGTGCAGACACCGGCAGTACAGACGCTTTTCTTCCCATCTTCCAGTTCCATGAGGTGCTCAGGTTGTTGATCAGCCTGTTTGACAAGGAAGTCTCTCTCCCCGTTTGCACCCAGGCAACCGCGTCTCGACCCTTCTTTTCTTTCTCTTTTCCTCTTCATGTCCGCTATCCAAAGCGCGATTCTCGCTTTCTGAGGACTCCCTCGCAACCACACACAGTAGCAAGCAAAGAAGGTTCCTTTCGGGTGGCACCACGCGGCTCAACTTACAGCAGACGTGCAACCATGGCGCCGGCTTCCCTGTCCGCGCTTCCGAATGAGCTCCTGGAGTTCATCATCGAGGACCTCGACCGCCTCAAGGACATTGCATCCCTTGCGCGCACCGACAAGCGGCTCTATGATGCGGCAAACTCCTATCTCTACCGGCGCGCCGCCGAGCGTGGTGATGCATGGCCGCTGGCCTGGGCCGCGCAGTGCGGCATGGTCAAGACGCTTAAAATGGCACTCGCCGTCGGTCTCGATCCAAACATCCAGCTTGTTGATCAACTTCCGTCCAGTGAATGGCAAAAGGCCACTGCCACGGCCAAGAGCGCTGCCCTGGGGAATGCCGACGACTGTGTGTGGGAATCTGACAACGAGTGCGAGTCCAATGCCGTGGTGGAGTGGTCCCTCGACGCCGAAGAGAGCGACCATGCCACCACCCTCGATACCAACCAACCTTCCAGCAGCATTGGAGCCTCGGACCATTGGGGCCACGCCGAGGATTCCGAGTCGGATAGCGAGAGTGATGTGTTGATGGACGACATGATGTCTTCCGACACCGACGATTCCACCTCGAGCTTCGACGGCCACTACGGAGCAGGTCTTGGCCCGAGAATTCCCACGCGGAGCCCCGGCACCGTGACCCGTCGATTTCATCCCATCCACCTTGCCGTCAGAGGTGGTCACACGGAGATCGTCCAGATTTTGCTCGATCATGGAGTGTCGGTCATCGCCTGCTCAGAAAACTTCTGCGGCTGCACCCACCTATATGGTGTCCTCAACGCGCTAGAGTCGCCCGAGAATTCGCACGTCCCTCATTGGTCACCCCTACACATCGCCATTTGCCATTCCCGCTCAGATGTGGCCCAACTTTTGCTGTCTCGTGGGGCAACTCCCGCCATGGACCTGTGGAATCCCCATGGTGAGCATCGGGGCCTCGAGGATGGCGCCACAGCTCTGCATCATGCAGCCGCCATGGGCCTGACAGACGTCGTCCGGTACCTTGTGGACAATAAGATCCAGACCAACGTGGATGTCAAGGACAACAAGACGCTAACACCCTTGTATCATGCCTACGCCAATGGCCGGTTCGACTCCACGCTGCCGCTTCTCCTGGAGCTTGGCGCAAACATCAACGTCGAAACCAAGATGTACATCCCGTACACCACCATCACGCCTTTGGGTGAGGCCTGTCGACTTGGCGCTTTTCAGGATGTTGACAAGATGGCCGAGCTAGGAGCGGATGTCAATCGTGGCTTCATGCTCACCACTAACGGCGGTGGCTTGTCGCCGCTTCACATGTGCAGCATGCCGTCGGCTCGACCGGCAGGCCAGAGTCCTCTCGATATTTGCGAGGACGAACGGGCGATTCCCCGGATGAGAACAATGCAATCTCTGGTCTCTAAGGGCGCCGTAGTGGATGCCAAGGACTGTTACGGGGACACGCCGCTCATGGCCGCTGCCCAGCACTGCAACGTCCCTGCCGTCAAGGCCCTCATCAAAGCAGGTGCCGATGTCCACGCACGAAACGCCATGGGCCGAACCGCTCTGATGCAGGCCATCGTGGGTCCTTCGAACAAGGCAATGGCTCCGGCCAAGGTGAATCACAATGCCCTGGCTCAGACCATGCGAGCACTGCTCCACGCCGGCGCTCGCATCGACGAAACCGACCTAGATGGAAGCTCAATGCTG